TTCGTCGAAACAAGGAAAACCCAACTGCTCGAAGAATTCATTCCTTATATTTCTAAATCTGAAGGATTATATATCACAAATTGGCGCTTAGGCCATTAAATTCAGTTCGATTTGGCCGCTTAATGCCACGAAGTCAGCGAAAACGATTTTGGCTCTTCGCTGACATGAAAGGCCAAGGATCGCAGCCATTTCCATTACCCATCTTCGTATTTATCGTGTTCACCAGCTTTAGCTTTGAATCTACAGCTGAATTTGACTCGTTGCTGCAGCTTCCACTTTCTGGGTCCAACGCGACTCGGCCCAAATCCAAACGGGTTTTCGATCTTCGCGATTTTGGGGCAAAAGGAGATGGGTTTAGCAACGATACTCAGGTATTATAACAAATGAAGAAGAGATGGTATGTTTTCAAGATTTTTAAGAACAATGACTATTTGATGATCATGGTGCTGATTCCCCCTTTTTTGGTTTGTCGTCTTATGGGTTTGAATGATTGCTTCATTGCTTAGATTGGAAAAGGTGAAAGTTTAAGTACTTCCTCTGCAACTTTTTCATGATTTTCCATCTGGACTCTTTGTTGCAGTTTTCTATGAACATTGACATTCTGATGCTGCTGCTGTTTCCCCTTTTCTTGGTTTTTCTTGTTATGGGTTTGAATGATTGTTAAATTGCTTAGATTGAAAATGCTAGAAGATTAAGAACTGTCTGCAACTTTTTCCTGATTTTCCAATTTGATTCTTTGTATCCACTCGAACATTGGCTATCTGATGATGCTGCTGTTTCCACTTTTGAATGATTGTTTCATTGCTTAGATTGAAAATGCTAGAAGTTTAAGAACATTCTCTGCAACTTCTTTTCATGATTTCCATCTAGGCCATTAGAATGTTTGGCGCCTTCTCTTTTTTTAAGCTCGATTAGACAAACATTTGTGAGTTTGTGACATTATGCAGCAGAATGTTTGTTTTTCCCAATGATTTTACAGTTAAATCACTATCAAACCCAAAAGCTTATATTAATAAGTTACGGTATTCAGTATATATAAACTTTTATTCCTAATCTTAAAACTCTCCCTCATATGTTGGCAAATTGCACAAGGCCCGGAGAGGAAATGACATTGTAGGAGTTCGACAATTAGACCTCTTCCCTGATAATTAGTTAAATTGCTGTTCTAACTTAAAAACTTTAGCTAATAAGCTAAATACATCTGAACATCTATTCATATTCTTAACTGTAATAATTTTGGCTCTAGGCACTCTTGGCTGCGTGGAAGATGGCTTGTTCTTTCCCCACTCGAACACGAGTTGTTTTTCCAGCTAGTAACACATTTCTGGTGCACCCTATTGAGCTTCATGGTCCTTGTCGGTCAAGGTTGACCTTGAGGGTATGAGCCAAATGCCATTCTTCTCCCATTTTAACACTATCTCTCTATCATTTTTCTGCTTTTAGACTTTTTCCTTACATTCAGTTTTTTAGTTGTATTTTTAAAAGATATATGGCACAATCAATGCTCCAAAAGATCCCGATGCCTGGGCTGGTCGAAATCCACGGAAATGGCTTTACTTTCGTGGGGTGAACCACCTGACTCTTGAAGGCGGAGGGGAGATTAATGGAATGGGATACGAATGGTGGATGCGATCTTGCAAGATTAACTCAACAAATGTATTTTCTTATTCCAACCCTGAATCCTTATGTCTCATTTCAAGATAACTTGTATAAATCGAGCTCGAAGTAGGCAATAACCATTGTTTTTTGGTTTTCTTATGTGGCAGCCTTGTCGACATGCTCCTACAGTAAGACGTTCTTCTGCTGTATGCTTTGTCCACATTTTGTTTCTTATCAGAATTTATGTTTCGAAACGAAATGCTGCAGACGGTGACATTTTCATTATTCCATTGCAGGCCATGACTTTTCATAAATGTAAAAATTTAAAGATTCGTCATCTATTGGTAATTGACAGTCAACAGATGCATGTTTCTTTCACAAACTGTCTCCGAGTCGTAGCTTCTGATCTCAAAGTGATTGCTCCTGCCTTTAGCCCAAATACTGATGGAATCCATATCAGCGCATCAAGGGGTGTCACGGTCACGAATAGCATCATTAGTACAGGTCAGTCATCTTAGACCACCTCATAAACAGTTTATTCTATCTACTGCTGAGCGTAGATTTAGAAGACATAATGATCAACCATCAATATTTTCGAAGAAGCCAAAATCGATGCCTCCAACAAATGAGAAACTTTTTCTTAAAGCTTGTTTGAAAGATCATGAAACAATCCTAGAGAACAAAGATTTACAGTCGTTCTGACCAAATGCGACAAATGTTTATCGATATAATTCAGTGAATAACATTCTGGGGCAATAAATATGCAACTCAAGTAGGCTCTATGTTGCTCTGATAAGGTTTGGCTTGGTTTGATGCCTGAATTTTCCCCAGCCATCACATAATTTGTCAATTTGTTTTACCTGGTTTTTTGAAAATGTGATTAAGAATTAGTCTACAGCTGAATGGGTTGATATTATATAAATTATGGATCTTAATGGTAAATAACCAATTTGTGCATGTGAGCTGAGTTTAAAACACACTTAAGTTGATTTCAATATCTTTTAGCTCAATTCGGTTTTTCGAAATTGCAAATCTAATGAGCAAGATGATGATCAATCTGTATCCTTTGCTTTCACGTAACCGAGAATTCTAATGCAGATGCACTCCCTTTCCAGGAGATGACTGTATCTCTATAGTGAGTAATTCTTCTCGGGTCTTGATCAGAAACATTGCCTGTGGTCCGGGCCATGGAATAAGGTACATAAACCTTCGCTAGCTAGATTCCTCTGATTTGACAAAAGAAGTTGGTGTATAACAATGGCTCTCTTATTTATCAGTATTGGAAGCTTGGGAAAGCAAAATACGTGGGCGCAGGTCCGTAATGTAATGGTTGATGGAGCTGTTCTATCGAACACCAAAAACGGAGTGAGGATCAAAACATGGCAGGTGTGTCCTGTTCATCCTTTTTTCGGTATAATACATTACGCATCTCCCACAGATAATCTTAGCTGATCTGTGCTCTTGTTTCCTATGTCCATCAGGGTGGCAGTGGCTTTGCCACTGATATTACCTTCAAGAACATATTGATGAAAAATGTATCAAACCCGATAATCATAGATCAGTATTACTGCGACTCGGATCTTCCATGTGCAAACCAGGTAAGGGTTCCCAACTCATTCATTTCCAAACCCGAAAAACGTACCCGGCTTTGCCAATTCACTAAAGCCTTCAGTCAGGAAGTACAATAACTTCTTGTTTTTTGAGAATGCAGACATCAGCTGTTAAAGTGGGAGACATATCATTCATTCACATCAAAGGAACTGCAGCAACAAAGGAAGCAATAAAATTTGCTTGCAGCGATACATCGCCGTGTGAAGACTTATTTCTGGAAGACATTCTTCTCTTATCGAATGATGGCGATATTTTGACTTCTCTCTGTTGGCAAGCACAAGGTTCGAATTCAGGGCCCGTTTATCCACCGTCGTGCTTTCTCAGTAACGAAAACTTCATTGAGCAGGTGGTCCAGCCTGACCCTGTTTCTCATTCCTTTTAGATTCAACTTCTAAAGCTTTATAGTTGCAACTTGCAGAAGCTTATGATGTGCTGCATTCTGTATTGTCTATTTGCCATCTCTGTGTACTCGGCCTCCATTTCCCACTGGATTTGCCAGATGAGGTTGTGATATTATACTATTTAATTCTTGTATTTCATTCTTCACGTTTTATACCTTTAGAAATTTTGATCCCTACCGATTTTAATAGTGGAGGACTTAGAGGGAATGTGTTCAAGCCATGGTGTTCACCTGTCTAAAATTTAATAGTGATCAAGCATCGACGGGCACGTAAATAAATAGTGTCTTTGTGTTTTTTTATTTTGTTAGTATAAATAGTTATCATTGTTAACAATCGACTTATGTGCAATGTAATGAAAAATTAATACAATGGACGTGAGCTAGCATAGCGATGATGTGAATTGACGTACCACCAATATGATCTATAGTTCTTTTTAACACATTTTAATAGCAACGACTGCAACGTTTCAAGTATAGTGGAGAAGTTGACATATACATGAAATTAATAAATTAAATATATAGTTTTTATTATTATTATTATTATTATTTTGGTACTCAGGAGGACCAGGACCAGGTTTTGAATGATAACCTTTCAAAAAAGATTTGGCCCATTCTTGTGACATTGCCATGATTAAAATTTTGAATTTTTCTTTTTTTATGATAAGATTTTCATCAATATGTCACATAAAATTTTTATTTTCTTTTCAAATCAAAACATGCAAGAAGAATAGTGTTACTGTACTTTATAATTTTGATAAATATATTTTCTGTGACTTGTTTTTTTAGTACATATTTTATGTGACTTATATTAAATATAAGTGGGAAGAATATCTATACAAACATGATTTTTTTTTCAGATAAGATCTAAAAAAAATCTACGTGGATCTAAGACAAAATGAAATCATTCTCCTAACATGTCTGGGAAAATGTTGATATGTTTTTGTGATAAGATTTTCATCGACATATCACATCATTTTCTTATTTTTGAAATTGGTACAAGAATGATTAAATCATGTCAATTTGAGTCCACAATTAAAGATGAAAGAGAAAAATAAAATTGAATGGCTGGTTTGATTAAATGGTTAGATATTTAGATGGCATGTAACGTAACTATCAAAATCCGGACCAAAAAAAAGATTAGTAGAAGAAAATTTTGATATGATCATAATGATAATATTGCATGTTCTCAGCCACCAATTTTGATTTTTGATTTTTCTTTTTTCCCATCAAATATACCAAAAAAAAAAAAAGGAGAGTTTATTGAAACTTTGAACAAGAACTTCTAATGCAATTTTAACTCTCTTGTCAAAGCATCAAATTTGGTAAGTGTTTTTCCTTTTTTGTTTTGAAAATGATGGGGAGGTTGAATGTTATTTTTTTAAAAGTTAAATATATGTTTGACTTTTAATATTTGAAATTTTTTCTATTTAGTCCATTTATTTTAAAAGTCTTAGTTTAATTTTTTATTTTAAATTTTTTTAAATTATGCTGTACTTGCATGGTAGCAAAAATTGGTAAAATTTAGAAGAACAAGGTCACTGGAGGACAGTTTCTAATTCTTCTAAATTTCTAAGAAGTTAGATAAAAATGCTAAAATATAAGAAATTAAATGGAAGTTTTAGTTTTTATTTTTGGAAATAGCGTGTGAGTAAGGTGGGTCTTTTTTTTTCTTTCCTTTGAAGTGTCATTTTTGCTAAATTTTGGAGGTTGTCGGGTCTGTTTTAGATGTTAATTTATTGAAATTTGAGAAATGTTTTTCACTGTTGCTGCTGCTGAAATTTGAAGGTTTATTTTTGGTGTATTGAAATTAGTAGTTTTAATCTGAAAAGAAAAAATTGATTCAAACAATTACATCAGCTCGTAATGTGAAGTATTATATTTATCAGAGTATTTTTTTTTTACATATTTCTAATATAATTATATTTTAAATTTTCAAATTTAAAATCTAAAAATACTGATAACGTAAAAATGATTTGAAAAAAAAGTTCAAAAACAAATACGTCAAATAAATATTCACTTAACCTTTTTTATAATCCCCTTTAGTTTGAAGGTCTGGTCTGATTGCTTGGCTGGTTTCGGGTCTCATATTGGTCTATTTAGTTTGCTTGGATTTGTCACATTAGTTCGCTTGTCGTGTGGCGATTGACATGGACTTTGAATGTTTCTTTTATTTGGAGGGAGCATAATGCTAGAGTTCATGCGAACGGGATAGGTCGGTCGCCTTCTGTCCCCTTTGGTTCTTTGAAAGCTGAAGTTTAGTATCGTTGTACTACATGGCCGAAAAGTTGTTGTTTGAGTTCTGATCCTATGTTTACCTCAACTTGGGATTTGTTTTCTTANAACAATTCGGATTCACCTTTATTATTGATTTATTCTATCAATTTATGGCATTTCATACAGCTAAGCTAAGCCAACTCATATCTTTATTATTAATGCCTTCACATGGCCAAAAAAAATGTGCATATTTTCCTAATGTTTCGGCATCGTATTTTATTTTATTTATTTAATTAAATTTACAAACAAAAGTACACTCCTTTTAATTTCCTTTGCCAATAAAACAGCTAGGCTCCTTTGAACTAATCTAAAGCAATTGATTCCAAAACGTTTTTAAATACTTGAAAAGATTGAAAATAAAAAGTAGAATTCGTGGTCAAAGAAAAATTTAGCTCTTGAAATTTGACTAGTATTTCAAAATAAACAATTTACAAATTATATTTACAAAAGTAATGTCAATAAATAAGCATCATTGTTGTAGTACACCCATTTTTTTTTCTTTTTTTATAATAATTACAAGTTTACCGCTTATATTTGATAGTGGTCCATATCAACTTTAAGTGTTTAATAGATCCCCAAATTTTTATATATGATGGATAGATCTTTAAATTTTAAAAACGATCAAATATGTCTCTAAGGGTCCTTTAATATTTTTTACATTTTTAGAGCAATTTTTAATATAAAATTCAATTTTGTATGTAGTTTCGTGACTTTTAAAAAATATTGAATAGACATCCTCTAAAATGTTTGTGGACTAAATTTTTAATTTAATTTTTTTTTTAAATGGATTTGAGGATAGATCTTTAGCCTGAGATCATAAATGGCTTAATGATAAAAATTAAAAATTTTCATATGGGCAAAAAAATATTTTCAAAATTSTCTAGAATTTTTGGAAACAACGAAATTAGGTTTGTTATTTCTTGTTCCAATTTTTTTTTTCAAATCATAAATAAAAACATTATTTTCATCCTTATAAAATGCATAATAAATATTAAAAATAAATATAACATAAAATAAATATTAAAAACATATTTTTGTTTCTTTTTTCTTAGAAAAAAAATAGTAACAAATACTTTTTATCTTCATTTACAAAAAAATAGGAATAGTACCAAACAGACATTAACTAACTTSGCGATACAATTGTTTTTTCCTTTTCTTTTTTCGTTGGGTATAATATGTGGAATAGAATATCGAACTTACAATTTATTGATTTGAGATATATATCAATTATCGTTGAGTTATAGTTACGTGATTGTACGGGRAAAATCACATCACATTTAATTTGGTGGGCTTTATTTATTTTTTCAATCATTGACCAGAAAAAGATGCATGGATGAGAAAGCTAAGACRGTGCGTTTTGTTTGGTAAAGATTCGATGGCACTGCAATTCCTTCACCTCCACTCAACTCCATATGCTTCCATAAAACGGCACCGCCCTCCCTCACCTTCCTCATCTTCTTTCCTTCAATCTTCAGAAAATAGAATCCAATTTCTATTATTTTACCACTTCTTTTTATTCATCACACAGATTCGAACTTACAATATTTTAATCGAGAATATATATCTTAACTTGGTACAATATTTTAGTCGAGAATATATATCTTAACTTGGTACAATATTTTAGTCGAGAATATATATCTTAACTTGGTAAGATTGTCAGTTATGTTTAACCCGATAATAAAATGTCAATGTCAATGGTAGATTTGAAATATTGGTGTACAAATTTTATACTGCTTTGGCTAAAATTTCAAATAAAAAAGTGTTTTTAACTAATTAAAATTATTGTTTTTTAATTTTTTATAATAAAAAGTAATTTAAAGAAAATGATGAGTTAAATTATAAGTTTAAGCTAAATAGGTCATGTGAAATTTAAAAGGTTGATAATTTTTTAAACTTTTAATTTTATGTTGCCCCTTAAATTAAATTGACTAATAAGCTAGCCTCCAAAACTTTTAATTTTATATTTAATAAGTTTCTTAGATTTAAAAATGACTAATAGATGTTTCGACTTTCAACTTTTATTTTTTTGTAAAAATTTCTTAATCTACYAGGAGACATTTTTCAAAATTCAAGAACTTATTGGACACAAAACCGAACTCTACACAAAATCGAAAATTTAGGTACTTATTAGACATTATTATATATTTAGAAATTTATTAGATACAAATTAAAATTTTAAAAGACTTTTATACCCTTTTTAAATTTCAGTAACCTATTTGGCTAAAAAGTTAGTGACTAGACTTGTGATTTAAATTACTTAATAATACTTAAATAAATAGGAGAGCATAAAATATATTTTAAAAAGTTTGAAATTCAAGTAAATATATATTTTTTCAAAAGTTTCAATCTTACGTTTAGTTTGCTTAATTCCTTCCTATAAATATGAATCTCTCCAAGCACATGTTTGTTTCAAGGAGAAAGACGAAGAGAAAATATTGAGAAGGTTTATTAAGAAAAAAGAAAAAATGAAGAAGAACTCTGCAGCAGCTATTTCTGCCGGCGGCGGCCGTTGGGCGGAGGAAACCACCGCCGCGAAAGAAAAGCAGGCACCGGCGCCACCTCACCGGCCGGTGAAGAAGCAGCTGGAGAGGACGGTGACGGAGGACGTTAATGAAAGTGCGGAAGCTTTCATCAAGAAGTTCAGAAATCAACTCTTGATTCAAAGGCTTGATTCCATTGAGAATTACCAGAAAATGCTCGCCGGAGAAACCCAAACTTAAACCATAAATTATATATATATTTTTTATGTTAATTATTATATTACTATTTTCTTTTTCTATCTCTTTTATCATTTTATATATGTTTGTCAATTGTCACCCAAATAAGGCGCTTTGTATCGTGGGTATGAATAA